CATGTTTGATTGTACATTTTCCTTGAAATAAATTGAATTTTTGTGAGTGAAAGTGAAAATTCTTTCGAGAAGAACAAAATTTTGAAACTTGAAAATTATCCAAGCATAGATTTTTAAAATTTAATCCAAAGTTTATGGTAAAATAGTTAATTTCATTTCTTCATTGAATTTATTAGGAAAAAATCTCAGGTCTACCTCTTTTGTATCGTGAATCATGAAAACATAATTACTTTTTCCAAAAACTTTATTTTGTGCCTAAACATGGCGTAGTTGTATATTGGCATCTCATAAATGCTTTAATCCCATCTCTTTGTTTAATTTTTCTTTTTAATATTGAATTCACTGACTAAATTCGAACTCAATGTTAGTGCTACTCTACTTCCCTCCTTTTCAATTGTGGATTTAAATAGAACGATTTTTAGTCTTAATCAATTAGAATTTCTCAAAATCCAATGTAAGAAGACAAATTAAATTTCATTCCCTTGAAAAAAATATTCATCTTCACAACCAAGGCTAGACTTAATTTTGAGTGTGAATTAATCGAGGTTCTCACAAGTTTCATATATACTAAAATGGCATGTCTTACTTTGTTACCCTGTAAAGATTTGAATCTTTAACCTTTCATTGATAGAGGCAAGATACTAAGGCGCAAAATGTGCAAGATCTATACCTCATTCATTCTATTAATGTGGGACAATTTTAAAAAGGTTGAAATAAACATTGTGTCCATTGCCAAGTGCCTTGTTGTCGTGCCTCCGTCTTCATTCCTTAATTGTCAAAGGCGCCTTTAAGACATAAAAGAAGCACTACTCATAAAAGGAGGACAAGTAGATGATGATATCCAACTTGTCTTCCAACCTTATGTAATTGAGTTAGATGAGTAAACATCCTATCTGATTTATTAGCTTGAACATAATGAAGTCAGTCATCTCGTTTCGTTACAATTTATAGTAATAACTCACTTCTTTCAATTCATGTGACAAAATTTGACTCACTTAATGATTAGAAATATAAAAGATCGTTCTTGCATTTTGGCTATTTTAGTTTGTCTTATTAAGATGCTACTTGTACTTAATTTGCTAGGGTATCAAATTTCAGATAGCTTTTTTGCATAAATTATCTTCTTATAATTGCAAGTATATGTATTCAACAAGTGCTCAAGTAAACATTTTATTTTGTAAACGTTATGGAATGTAACTCTTGGATGGTTTGGCATATATATGTTTAAATCTTTTTTTCTAATCGTCACTTATTTAAAGCAAATTAATTACTATTTTGCAGCTTTGTGAACCGTTATAAGTCACAATGGAAGAAAAGAGAGAGAAAATCTACCTTATCACTAAGTTTAATATTTCCTTC